TGACTACTGGGTGATTTGAGAACTAAAGCAACTATGAGAGGGGAAGGAAGGAAGAGAACCCCTGCTACCCACATGAATGGCAGGTAATAGGAAATGCTTTCTGCTACCCACAGAAATGCTGTCTATGAACTTTTAGCCAGTTGTAGAGAAACAGAGACCGACCTCTGTGCGTATCTAAATTATGACCATGAATTTGCGACCTTCCCTGCCAGTTTTGTCCAAACCTTTCCTGTTTCTGTTAATGATGCCTTTTCCCCATTCACACAGTTCTGGGACCACAGAAGTACCTTTGTCTCTTATTCCAACCAGAGTTTCTGAGCAGTCTGTGGAGTGGAGTGCTCAGGATGGGAGAGGGCCTGCCTCTGAGGACATGCTTATTTAAAACATGAAGGAGAGCATGAATGAAGCTGTAAAACCCTGAACCAGCTTCATCAGTATTAAATAATACCTTACAATCCTCAAAACTCAATGAACTAATTTAAGTGTCAATGAAGAAGCATAAGAACTACCAGGCCTATAACTCATCCTGTATTGAAACTGATGTTTTACAGAATGAAACCTGGATTATTACTGATTCCATAACCTTGGAAAGCTGATACGCAATCCAGTGAGCACGTGTTCAGGGGGCAGATGGGCTGGTTAGTGGATTGAAAATGACATGGAATTCCCACAGCTGTTCCTGATTCAGGGTGAAGTCAAGACCCGTGTTCTCAGGTCTAGTGTTCAGGTCCCCAATACAAGGCTCCTGGTGGGGAGCGAGGATTGTTCGCTTGTGATGGGGTGTTGCTTAGTAGCCTGGCACCTTCTATGCTGGCTCCGTGTGGAACATCTGCTCAGTGGCAGCAACTCCACTCTTCTGAGAACTGTGTCTGCGTGAAGGGATTTCCTCGCTCCCACTTGCCTCCTCTTCAGTGGTGTGACGACAGCCCAGGCTTTCTCTGTTGTGAAACTGGGATTGGTAAACATATGGAGAACCCAGAAATCTGTGAGTTTTACCACCATACATAGCTGACCAAAGTTCAGAAAGCAATGAAGCAGCTCATCTGCAGGACAGAATTAGAGCCAGCACTGAGAGTCCAGAAGAGAGGATGCCTTGGGTGCCTGGAGTTTACCGTTTCCTGACACCTGGCTTCATTTTTAGGCTTTATTATTTTCCTGACTTTTGATTCTAAACTTCATTCCTTGGATTATCCTAAGAAAACCTTCTCCTTTTCATGCTCATCTTAAATCAGTTGGATCTATTTATATGGTTTGTGGAAGTGGAACTGGATCTAGGGTAACACACCTGCCAACCATGTATCCAGTTTCTGAACTTGTCTAAGGCCCAATTTGACTCCGCTCACTTGAAATCTCAGTAGAGATTACATGCCTGATCACCATATGCTGCTTAGGGATGCAGTGTCTGGGAATCAAGATAAAGGAATACCCATACAGAAAACAGAATAATACAGTGACAATAGCAATTTAAAAGTAAAACTATTAGATACGACCTCAGAAGTACAGGAGATAAAAAAAAAATAATAGAGACTCATCAAATAGAAAAGAATTTGTTCTAGAGGAGGCACAGTTATAAAAGTAAAGAAAAAACTCACAGAACAGAAAAAAAATAATTAGCCAGGCATAGATTTGACATGGGACCCATATCTAGGAAACACTCACACACACATATTAGAAACTTGAAAAGAAAAATAAAACTCCGTTGAAAATCATGAAATTTGGAGGCAAATGAATGGAATTAGAACATGTTATATTAACTGGAATAATCCAGACTCAAAAAGACAAACATTGCATGTTCTTACTTGTGGTTCATAACTCCAAATCCGTAGATGTGAATATGAAACCTAGAATAGCCACTGGAGTAGGAAAGTAAAAAGGGGCCAAGAAGAGGAGAGTTGTAGGTGGGAAGCATCAGGACATAGGTGATATGAAGGAGGGAATGGGGGAAATGGGTGGGAGGGTCTTTACCTGGGGAAGGAGGATTGAGGGTAATATAGAAGAAGAGGGAGGATCCTTGAAAAGAACAAAGAGTCATCATTTTATATTTGCCAAAAATCACATGTTATAAGTATATATTATGTGTATAGTACATATATTTGTTGAACTGTTGAAAAGCTGCAAAATATGACTGCAGAACAGGAACAATCTCTAGCATTTTCTCTAAATTTGATGGTAACTTCCCTGAAGACAGATACTTCCTAAGATCCATAATACAAGCGACAGCTCACGCTGGTGGGGATGTGGAGCAAGGGGAGGGCAAACTTGTACAGCCATTACAGAAATCAATATGGCAGTTCCTCAGAACATTGTCTACCTCAAGACCCAGCTATACCACTCTGGGACATAAACCCAAAGGATGTTCCATCCTACCTGGAGGACACTTCCTCAAATATGTTCATTGAAGCTTTATTCAAAATAGCCAGAAACTAGAAACAACCTCGGTGTCCCTCAACTGAAGAATGGATAAGGAAAAGGTGGTATATTTACACACTGAAGTATTATTCAGTGTTTTTTTTTTTTTTAATGACATCCTGAATTTGCAGGCAAATGAATGGAACTAAACAAAAAATCATCTTGAAAGATGATAAATATGGTATCATTCAGTTATGGCTATATATTAGCTGTTAAATAAATGGTATTCAAGCTACAGTCCACAGAAACAGAGGGGCTTAGTAAAGAGGAGGGCTGTGGCAGGGACACATGGACCACTCACCACCTCCAACCTGGGAAAGGAAAATAGAATAGATTTTTGAGGATGGACTGGGACTGAGTGGGGAGAGAGAAGCTGTTTTAATTTCAGAACCATCAACCCGTCATTTTCAGATCGCCAATCAGCCCAGTTACCCCTACACAGCACAGAAAATTACTATCCAGGCTGTGCACATATCCCTGACCTACCGAATCATGCTGCAACAAAATGCTTGTTATTTTCATTTGCTCTGCAACAGTAGACATGCAGAGCAAATTTCTAGAATTCTCTTATCACAGCCTCCAACTCCCCATACATAGCCTTGCTGGGAACCTGGCAGGAAAGAAAATGGTAAACTTGCGTCCATTCTACTAGTGTGAAGATCTGGTGATCTCATGGCAGATTGCTGGACTAAACCCAATAAGTTCTTTTGTAGCCTCCCTGGAAATAGAACAGACCCTCAGAAGCTTTTATTTCCTCGTGTATTTCATTTGGCAGGCTTGCAGGTTTGTGGTCAGAAAATGGAATGGCAGTGAGTTGTGATTTCTAGAAAACTGAAGACTGAGAAAAGATGACTCCTCCCACTCCTAGACCTGGTTACAAAGGAACCAATGAATCTGGTTCTTTGGGTTTTATTTTGAAAATGGATTTTTGGATCTAGATATGTGTTCCCTGATGTGCATCATAAGATCATGGCTTTGGTAAAGCACGACTAATTCAGGCCTCTATCTACCCACAATGAACTGGGCTCTTCTCTATCAATCCCTAATTAAGAAAATCGCCTCCCTCTCAGGGGCAGCCTTTCCAGGCCACAGAGAAAGACAATGCAACCAATCCTGATGAGACATGACAGGCTAGGGTCAGAGAGAAGGGAAGGAGGACCTCCCTCATCAGTGGACTAGGGAAAGGGGATGAGTTGTAATAAATAATAAATAAAAAAGAAGAAAATGCCCTATAAGTTTCCAAGCTCAGGGAGGCATTTTCTTAATCGAGATTCTCTCCTCTTAGATGGCTTCAACTTGTGTCAAGTTGACGTAAAACTACTCAGCGTAGAAGGTCTCACCCTATTCCCTGCTGTCCTCAGAAGACACAAAGCAAATACAAAGAAAACCTGGAAATAAAATGTTCCTGTTGCAGATAACTTAAAAGCATGGACTGATAATGTTTATTATTAGCCCTATAATTATTACAATGGTATTGTCTAACCTGCTATCATAATCAATAAAAGACACAGACACCTGTTGTATTTTAAAACAGCCTCATTTTACCTGGGACTGGTAAATGTTTTCTCCTAGAACTACCTAATCACTTCCCAGCCTCCATCCCAAGCCATTTGCCTTAATAATTTCCATCTGGGCTACTTCCTGTCCATAATACTTGCTAATGTTTTCCATCTGGGCTGCTTTCCTCCACCCATGCTGATCTGGTCATGTGCTTCTCTCCACCCTATGGCTCTCTGCTTCCTTCCTTTTCTGCTACCTGTCTCCTTCTCCTGTGATCCTTCTCTCCTCAAGCCCAAAAATCTTCACTTTGCCCTTTTCTTCTGCCCTGCCCAGATATAGGCCTTTTAATCAGTTCATCAGGAATAACTGGGGAACATTTCTTGTCATCACATGGGTACAGGAGATAATTCAAGGTAGTAACAGTGCCCAGGCAGGAGGGTAACCAAATCTCAGGGCACCAAAATCAGCATTTGGAAACACAGTTGGACCTTCCTCCAACATATTCCTATAAAGGAGAAGACACAGAGATGTATCTTAGCCAGTGTTCAGAGTTTTTGTTGGGCCACTATAGCTAAATTCCTTAAAGAACGAAGGAGCCCTCACCACGTACAGATATCCCAGACACGCATGCGTGAGCTTAGTTCTCCCAGTTTCCCAGTAAAGTACATGTTATTTGCCCTGTCCACTAAGATCACAAAGGTAGGGAAAGGGATAGGTAAGAACCAGTTACAGATCAGCAAAAGGAGGGGGAACAGGGCAGCAATCCAGTCCAGATGTCTGACATCAGCACCATGAAGAGAACTGAGAATTTCAGATTTTTAGGGGAGCTGATCCAAAAGAAAACCTTTCCGATCGCAGAAGAGCAAAAGAGCTGTTTTGTTGTTGTTGTTGTTGTTCATTTTCTTTTGAGATAGGGTCTCAATATGTAGTCAAGCTATCTTCCTTCTGCCGATCTTCCTTCCTCTTCCCCTTAAACGCTAGGAATCCAGACAGGTACGTGCTACCACATCTAACTTTGAGGTTGAGGAATTATTGTGCCAGCAAAGTACCAGACCTCATTGTTATGAATGCATAGAAAAAAATGTACATACCTATACAGCTGCGGACATCAGAGTAGCTGGCACCTGGCGGGTCCACATAAGGCACAGAGACCAAGGAGTGAGAGAGCAGGAGAAGAAACAGAGGGGTGGCCTTGAGGCCTTTCCAGGGGGACTTCATCCTGAGCTGTAGAGCAGGAGCCACGATCTGGTCCACACGATCACTCTACTTCTGAACCTTCTTTGGCCCCTCTGCAGTTACCGTATCCCAATGCACACTCTGCTGTGAACACACTTTGCAACAAGTATGATGCAAGTGTATGCGCAGAAACGCACGCGCATGCCCATACACATGCACACCCGACAGAGCTGGCTATTGTGAGACCTCTGAGAGAAGCTCAGCTGTGCAGGTCTGGGAAGAACTGGAGAAGTCCTTGGTGAGCATTCCCTCTGAGCAAAGACTTCAAGGAAAAGAAATACCCAAGTTACACAGTGACAGCAACAGCACTTCCGGCCTCTGGCTGAAGTCAGTGACCATAAACCACATGAACCTTGAGGTTTGCCCGAAGCACACTGTTGGGTTGGAAGAGAGAGGCCCTTCCCCTTTCATTCTTACAAAACAAAATTAAATACAAACTCAAAGCAAAGAAGAAAATACCACACCAGCTACTCTTAGCCCCTCAGGAATCCAATTGGTAGCACCTACAGAGTGAAGAAGTTACAGTTGTCATGTAGAATAATTATGGTTATAAGCTATAATGCAGAATTATGTTTAAATTTACTCAGGTTTCTTTTAAATGGCTGTATATTTGAGGATATTGCTTTGTCAGGGAACCTTCTGGTCAGTGATAACTTTCTTCTAGTAAAGAGAGACTATTCCTTGCAGGGTCCAGCTTTCTTAAAGTCTTCTATTATGTATGCACAAAACAACAAGCTGTCAGCAGGGTTAGCTCTTAAATCTAATAAGGGAGAAGACGTGAGATCTAGGCATCTCATATCTACTTGCCTGGGCAGGCGGCATCATTTTCCCCTCAGAATCTGAAGATGTGTTTGTTTTCCATCTGTGGGGAATTTGTTCACTTTTAAGAGACTGATTCTTTCTTTTCTGCTTTGAAGGTGAGAATTTGGCATTGTTTTTCTGGGGAAAGTAATCTGAAAAAAGGGGGTTTGAAAATGAAAGATACATAATTTGAATGCCTTTTTTTTTAATAGGATACACCAAAGTTGTATGCATCACTCAGACAAGCTCAAAGGCTAAAGTCCCTCTATCCAGATAAAAGTGTACCATCATGTGACTGTTCCTTCTTTTTGCTCTGAGAAAGACTTGTTACTGATTTAGAATTATGCAAGTCAGCTAAATTGGTGAGCTTTTTTTTTAATAGAACAGCTTTTTTTTTCTTTTATAATTTCATACATATATTCAATGCATCATCATACTCATCCTCAATCCCCCACTCCACATACACAGTATCTGTTCACCTCCTACCATGTCCTCTTCTCACCTTCATGTCCTCCCCTGAGTACTATTAGTACTGCTTGTTGATTGCTGATTTGGCCTTTTGTAAAGGTCTTTTGTTTGGCCAAGGCACTGCTGCTTTTGGTCCTAGACCTCATGGACATGAGAACCTTTAGATAGAATGATGGAGTGAATGAACAATAAAGGGCCAATGTTTGACTTTCATATCTGACTTTATGTGTCGACTGTATCAGGTGAGCAAGCTGGCTTTCTACCTCCGGTTTCCTCAGTTAACTTGGGTAATGGTAGTATCACCTTATAGGCTTACTGCAAGGATCCAGGTAATGTTGAATCCAGAACACCATGGCAGGTAAGAAGAAAATAAGTACTAAATTAAAGCTTTGGCTATTTCCCGGGTAAAGATGCTAGCACATCTGTGGCCCAGGCCAAGCTTTGAGGGAGCTTTGAGCTCTATGACAGCTGCAGGGCAGCATGTAATGCTTGGAAAAAATATCTCAAAACAACAAAATGCAGAATTTACTGAACATCTTTTCTGGGCCAGTCAGTCCTCTGCCTGACTTGGAGGCTGAAGGAATGTTCTAGAAAGGCCTGAGATGTTCTGGAGTAGCCTCAAGGCCTGAGAATCTGGCGGTCCCAATGCACAGCTGGGTGCAGGCACGGACAGAATCATAGTCAGGGGTGGTGCAAATCATATCACCATCCATGTGTGAGCCGGTCAGCTCCACCCACAACCATCCCAGGGGCTGGAAGCTTTGAATACATCTGGTGCGCTCAGACCTTGAGTTGGCACAGTAAATGACCCTGACTTATCTCTCCAGCAGCAAGCAAGTCCCTTACCTTTCAGTGGGTGACATGCCTTCACTAGAAAAGAAGTTAAGATGTTTTCTTTGAGAGAGGTATGGCTGGTTAGTACCATACCTAAAAGAGGGTACTCAGTACCTGGTGGTGCTCCTCACATTTGGCAGCTGAGTTCTCAGTGGGCAATGCCAAAGGGACACAGAATCAGGGGAGTGAAGTTACCAGCTCACCCTAGAAGTAATACATCCAGGCACACACTGCCACCTCAGTCGTTCCCATCACCAAAGTGGGGGCTCTAGATGGCAGCATCATTTCCTGCCAGGGCTCCTTTGCTCACTGGGTACTGAATACAAATGGCCTAGCCCTCTGATCTGCCTGGTGAGAGGCCAGGAGCCACCTGTGGTGTGGAAGAACTGGTGGGCCCCTGGGTGACGTCCCCAGAGGAGCACGGCTGTCACAGTCGCTCCAATTTTGATTTTCTCACCATCTGTTCCTGAGAATGAAGTACCTTCTTTGCTACGCTCTGTTCCTCTGCTCGGATACAAACCTCAGCCATCCTCTCTGCAGCAGGGGGCTGGGGATTCATGATCCTGAAAAGCGCACCTGTGCTTCTGTTCGCTATGAATCCCCTTTCTGATTACATCTGACTTTTATTGGATTCCACCTCTCTCTCATAGCAAGTTCTTCACCAGGAAGAGAAGTAGAGAAAGATGGAGGCAAAGAAAAAGGAGATAAGAAGCTTGTGTTGCTACTAGGCCCTCCTGGTCTTGCTTTCTCTCTCTGTGCCTGAGTTTGCACTGCCCTCTCCTTAGTCTGGCTCCAGACTTGCCCACGCTACCTGCTAAACACAGACCCTTTCCCCCTAGTCTGAGCCCCATTCTGTACCATGTCTGCCCAGCTCAGGAACTGGTATGTTGATCCTGACAAGGCAGCATGTGGGTAACAGCTATTTATTTCACTATAAGGGTTTATTTATTCATAGTTTAGGTGTCAAGAAGAGGGTGTTGGATTCCGAGTTTCAGTTGCTTCTTATCCACCAGGTGTGGGTGCTGGAAACCAAACCTGGGTCTGCTAGGGCTGCAAATGTTCTTGCAGAATCATCTTTCCAGCCCTTTATGTAACTGTAAAATGCTGCTTATCATGCCAGCATTATAGTAAGATTACGAGGATTAAGAGAGCGTATTTATTAAAAAAAGAAACCTAAAATTTAATGCAAGATAAATGTAAACCAACCCACTAAAAAATGACAAAAATCTGAGGTGATATATATGCCAGCTACCAGGATGTGGCCATCACACACTGCTTACGCATATTGGAAGGTCACATGGTACATTGAAAGTATGTGGAACTGCTATGCATCACTTAAAACCTCGTTATTTTAAAATGTAGAGCTGACAGTGAATCCGCATTGCCTTCCTCCAGTGTTACCCTGAATTTTAATATTTTACTTGCGCACTAACTCAGGTCACTTCAAAAGCTTCGTTTTAATAATACAGGCACAAAATCACAATGTACAATAGGAATTCAGAAAACCCCAGAGAAATATGTTTTTAGTAAGTGTGAGTGGTCCTCGTGCTTGATATGTGAGTTCTTATTGATGAGTTCATGGGGCATCAACTGTGGTCATTCTTCCTGGCAGAAAAATGTGGAGACCATTCCTGCGAGGCACACATCAGGGGCTTACAAAGAGCCAGCTACCCGGAAGGAGCTGGCTCCTCCACGCCCTTGTGAATGTTGCAGTAGACTGCAGGCCCTGCACACTAGCCAATAGGATTTGTGCCCTATACTCTTCCCGCCCTCCAATTCATTACTCATCAACGCGTTCACTTTGGGATTTTAAAGTTTTAGAAAAAGAGATGCACCTGCTAAGAATGGAGGTTTTATGATGCTTCTGATCAATTTTCAGAAATACAGATATCAGAGGGAACTGGAGTCATGGTTCAGTGAGTAAAGAGTACTTGCTGTGAAAGCAAGAGGACCTGTGTTCAAATCCTCAGCAAGTACATAGGTGCTGGGTATAATTATGCTTTCCCTGGACCCTAGCATTGGGAGACAGATGGAGACAACCAGCTGATGCTGGGAGACTGATGGCCAGCCTGCCCAACCAAAAGGCAGGGGGCGGTGGGATGAGCTTCAGCGAGAGACTGCATCTCAAAAGCTAGGGTGTAGAGAGAGAAAGGCATTTAATATCTTCCTCCTCTTGTGTGTGTGCTTGAATCCTCTCTCACACCCCCACATGCACACAAACACACATACACAAGCGCATGCACACATACGCCTCTCTGGAAATACATGTATCAGAAACGTGTGTCATTTATAACACAACTGCCTCTAAGGACAATCAGTTCCATTAGGTGGGTGCTTTTTCATCTTCTGGCCACTAGTTTAAGGGAAGGAGCTGAGGTAGATTGAAGAGGGAAGAGTAAAGACGGAGGACATACTGTTGTACTTTTGGCTACACAGGCGTGGTGTGGTACTGGGAGGTGAAGTGGCAAAAGCCAGTGCTAACAAGAGTCGTTCTGGATCTGTGACGTTATATTGCGTGTGTTAGGGAGATGGTGAGCTGCTCAGGCCTTCTGTGGAGTGAGTGGAGATCAATGAGTAGCTGGGTTTCCTGTTTGGGACAGAGCTAAGAGTGACTGGCAGAAGCAAGCACAGAAGTGGGCAAGCTATGTAAACACAGGCCTCAGGGATTCTCAAGTTATCATAGGAGGACTTCAGACTCTCAAAAGTGACAGATCAAGGCTAGTTAGCTTTAACAGTCTTCACCTGGTTCTCTGAGCTATCAAGGTAAGTTTGAATGATCATAAAGACGGCCTCACTAAGAATGGGGGTCATTCAATTCTCTTTAGATAAAGGAAATCCAGAGACTGTCCTTCTACCCTAGGACTGGCTTTTGCCCTCTGGAGTAGCTCACAGCTTCAAATGACTGCGAGAACGCCAA